TTTGAAAGCATCACTGAAAATGGGTTTGATTTACGTCCAACTGTGTCATCACAAGGATGGACAAAGTACTTTGACAGGCTGGTTGGTCCAGTTTACCCTTGCTTGGTCAAAGAATTTTGGATTCATGCAAGCGTTTTCCCCAAATTCATCACGTCTTCAGTTCTGGGTAAAGAGACCATTGTCAGTGAAGATCTGATTCACAAACTGATAGGGTATCAAGAATCTGATGGTGTTACTCATCTGCCAGCAAATCGTCTGGATATGGATGAAGTGTATAGTGAAGTGTTTACTTCTGGGGAAGCTTCCAGCAAGATAAAGGATCTGAAAGTTCAATACAAGATATGGCCTAAGATTTTCTTGGGTTGCATTCATCACAGAATGTCTATAAATTCTCCTGATTACATCAACTCTGATCAGATGTACTTCATGTATTGCTTAGGTAAAAGCATCAAGGTGGATTTGCATTACTTGCTATTCAATCATCTGTGGACTCATGTGAAACAATCTAGAGAAGAAGTCAGAACCAAGCACCAAAAGATGAGAAATTGGATACCTATGGGATGACTCATCTCAGATATTCTGACTGAGAATGGACTAGTTGGTCATCTGACAGAAGCTGGTATGAAAGAAGAATTAGCTTCAGTGGTTGGAAAACCTCTGAATGGCAAAAGCTTGCAGAGAATGAGAATTGTATAAGAACTTACTTTTGCACCAGATCAGATCAACTCTGAAGAAGTAAGGAAGAGAAGGATACCTGTAGGTGATTTTCCTCTGTTCCATGCTAATGAACCAAGGGAAATTATTCTAGCTTAGATAGCAGAATGCTTAGCAGATGGAACTCCTATAATAGAACATCTGATTCAAAAAGCAGATGAACCTGAACTTGACTTTTATGTGGAGAGACAAAGGAAGAAAAGAAAGGTCTCAGAAGAAGGATCCTCTAAGCCAAAGAGGAAAGCATCTGGCGAAGCATCTTCTGCAAAGCCAAAGCGCGTCAAGAAACAGAAAGGTAACCCTACTTCGGCTAGTTTAGATTCTATTTTAGAAACAGTAAGAGAAATACTAGCATCTGAACCACCTTCTTATGAACCAATTCCTTCACCTTCTCCTCCTCACGACTCTGAACCCACTCCATCTGAACCACAACAATCTCAACCACTTCCTTTTACACCTCAACAACATAAATCTTCTGAACACCAACAACCACAACCATCTGAACCACAATCATCTGTACCATCCACACCTTCCTTTAATATACACCAGAAAACGACTCCTGAGAAAACCCCCACTTCTGTTCCACAAACTTCTGAACCAACACCTTCTGTAAACCAAACTTCTGAAATTCCCCCATCTGAAAATCAAACACCTGCACAACAACCAGAAACCATTCCATCTGATCCTGAACCAGTTTTTCTTGATCTCCAACCTCTGACAACTGTATTTCCAGTTCCATCTGGATCATCTGAATCTTCTAATTCATCTTATTCCAGTGATTCTGATAAATATGATGTTATCTCATCTTTTTCTCAAACCTTATGTAACTATCCCTTCTGACCCTGATGATGATAAGTTTTCATCAGAGCCATCTTCATCTGAATCTCAGTTTGCTAAACCCTCATTTGTCCTCACTCCTTCTCCTTCATACCCACCTGTTATCATTATTCCTTCTTTTTCCATCCCCTCAACTTCTGAAACCACCAAAACACCTTCCTTAGAAACATATCTGAAACATAAACCTAGGCTGGATGTTGGTACTTTATTTGTTGGTTTTGAAAAAGAATTAAACATGTGGTTATCGACTGTTAAAAAGGAATGCATGTCTAGTTTGAATCCTGATGATTCTAAGGCTATCTGGAAGAGATTCAGATCTAGATTTGATTCTGTAGCTTCCAATCTTCAAGAGATCTGTTCTGATGATGCAAAGGTCAGATTTGCTGAAGTTATTAGACGAACTCTTCTGAGTGTCAGCAGAAAACCAACCTTGCTTCTGGAAAACACACATGCAAAGGACGTGTGTATTCCTTCTGAAGTCTTGGCTGCTTCTGAGATTGATGCGCTGCTTAGATCTGAAGAAGTCGCTCCAGAAGTTTCTGCTCCTTGTCTAAAAGAGACTCTTGTTTCTGCTCAACCGTCTGATATGATTGTCCAGAATGCTTCTTCTTCTTTGATCATTCACGATGCCTTTGCCTCTGCCTCTGCATCTGCTCATGAGTCATCTGAAGTAAAGAAAGAAAATGAAGATTTGCATGCTCAGTTTGCTGAACTCAAGGCCAGTAACTCTGAAATCAAATCATGGATGATCAAGCAAGAAAAGACAACAGAAGAAATCAAGATATGGATGGAAAAACAAGAAGAATCCACTTCTGAGATAACGAATCTTCTGAGGATTTTGGCTTCCCGTCCCTCTTAGTTTCTTTCTTTGTTTGTGCACCTATGTTATTTGTTTGCTTGTCTGTTTCTGTATCTGGATTATTATTTTCAATGCATCTGAATGTTATGTTTTTCTAGCTGAATTTATCTTATGCTTTATTGTTTTTCCTCTGTTACTTTTTTCTGTCTTAAAGTTTTTCTTAAAGATTTTCTTTTTGATATGACAAAAAAGGGGGAGAAAATGGTAATTTTGATAATTCACATAAGCAGTTACCAAAGGCAACTCATACATGATAATTTTCATCTAATCATTTTTTGAGTGTTTCAGAGCTAATAATTCTCATCTGATAAAATCTAAGAATTAACTCTGAACTAAAGTCTGAGAATCTACAAGTTTCCTCTGATGCTGAAAAGAATACAGAAGCTGAAAGGGAAGTGTTTATTCTTTCCAGAAGTATTCATTTCAGGGGGAGATTAATATTCTCAGGGGGAGTGATATTTCTTTTCTATTTAAAACAAAATTTCCCATAGTTTTTGTCATCATCAAAAAGGGGAAGATTGTTAGAACACAGATTGGTGTTTAATATATCTCATAGTTTTGATGATAACATTAATGAAATTTTGTATAAAGAATTTATATACTCTAATTTTGTTCAAGTGTTTATTTGTTTCAGATATCAAAATTAACATTATTCTGGAAGCAAGAACACCTCTGAACATTAAAGAACGAGAAAGCTCTGAGCGTCAGAAGCAACACATCAGAAGACTCTGGTCTGCTACAATGACTATGAGCGAAGCTAAGAAGAACTTGAGTGAAGAACGTACGTAAAGCTTCAGAAGACTCTGGATGTACTCAACGCTGCAAGTACAGAAGTTCTGATAAGCAAGTATACTCTGATAAGTATTTCACATTTAAAGCACTTGGCTGCAAACTCTGATAGAGAAACTCTGAGTGAGTTAACTTTGACCTAAACAACTAGGAACATCATCAGAAGTTCTGATACAAGACGTTCCATAGTTATTGAAGAAGATGTTGTTCAAATAAAGATCCGTTGGCATATTCTTTGGCATTATCCTAAACGGCTCTTTCCTTATTTGTGCTTGACACAGGATTTCAGACAAAAAGGATTTGTCTGAACATTCCCCTTCAGAGAAAGGAAAAGTCAGTAGAAGACAAAAAGAACAGAATGCACAAATTGCACAGTCTTTGAGAAAAGGATTTCAAAGTACTATAAAAGCATTTCTAAGCATCACTTTAAAGGTTAACGAACTTCAAACAAACTATTGACAAATTATTCAAAGCACTCATTCAATATTCTTCAAGCTAGAATAGTTTCTTATTCGCTCTAAAACTTGTGGAAAAATCACTGTTGTGATATAGCTTTTTAGAAACACATCTTAAACACAATTGTTAGTTTATCTTTGTAAAAGATTTCCTTAAGAAGACCAAGTTGTGGTCAGAATTTCTTGAGAAGACTAAGACAGTTGTCTTAGTGGTTTACACTGTAATCAAGTTTGATATAGTGGATTAAGTCCTTGTTGAGAAAGACAAATCACCTTGGTAGGGTGGACTAGATTAGTTTGAGTTCAAACGAACCAGGATAAAAATACTGTGTTATTTTTCTATCATCTAAATCGTTTTAAAAACCTTATTCAACCCCCACCCCTTTCTAAGTGCTTTTCCTACCTTCAAGTTAGTCAAAAGGTCTATGAAAGACCCTGTTCAAGTTAAAAGACTTAGTGAAATTCGAGGAGTCTTTTCCAGTTGACGTGGCTATGATATTTTTATCGAAGAGTATGGATAACATCATACAATTATTCAAGAATACGTGGAAACTTGTCAAAGACAAGAGATTCATGAAGATGGAGACGTGTCAAATTATGCTAAATCTACCGTTGTAGACGGTTATCTTAGGACTAGTATATAAGCAATGTTTGTTTGTAGTTTTAGAGGTCGCAATTTTACACATCTCACACTCAAAATATGCAATTGTGAAATTAAAAAACGAGTTTTCAATGTATATACTTGTGTTCCATTTATAAAGTTAATATTTTTCCTTTAATTTTTTTTTTACCTATTCACTTTTATGCATTATTTTTTCTTTCAATGTTTTCATTGTAAAAATCTTTCAAAACTTAACAATTTTCATACAAATTTATCACAAAATAATTTTAAATTTAATCCTTTAAATAAAATTAAACTTATCTTATTTAGTAAGTTTCACGGTAAACAATGACTTCAAGTAGCATTATCACTTCACTAAATGAGAGGAAGAAATCTCATAGAAGGATAATAAAGTTAATTTTTTTAAATAAGGATAAAAAAATTTAAAAAAAAAATCAATTTAGGGGAAAAAGTGCAGTTGAATTATGGAAACCGTGGGGGCATTTTGCTAAATTAACATTATAACCAATAAAATGGATCTGTGAAAGAATGTACTAGTAGAAAAACAGAAAACTTCACATGTTTAATTAATCGATTATTAATTAATTTAATTGATTTGGTACGTCCAAACACATAATATAGTTGAGAAACCCAATCCCCATTGAAATAATAATCAGATCCTAAGTTTGAAGAGTTTCGATCGAAGTAAATAATTGGATCTGAAAATAATCAGCAATATTCAGAAATGACGATGGCGATGGCGAGAATAAGTTCTGGTTTGCAATATCCAGAACGGTTCTACGCTGCGGCATCTTACGTCGGTTTTGATGGATCCACTTCTCCAACAAAATCTCTCACCTCCAAGTTCCCTAAGTCCACCGCGCTTCTTCTCTACAGCTTATACCAACAGGTTTTCACTCTTTCGTCTTTTTCCTTTTACCTGCATTGCGTTTTTTAATTTCTCTCAGTTTTGTCGGTGATGTTTTTCTCATCAATTGCGTGTTTCTGTGTGTGATTTTCATGGATCTGTTTTGATTTGATTGATTGAAGTTGAAGTTGAAGATTATGTTATTGATTGTTGCTGATTTTGTAATTTACCTAGCTTCTTCATGGTGGTGTGTTAAACAAGCTATTAGGTGGTTTTGAATTTTGATTTATGATTATGAGTGAGGAATTTGATTAATGTTAGTTTAATTAGTTGCCGTTATATGATGATCTGTTTTATAAAGATTAGATGGATTTCTGATTTCCTAACATCATTGATTCGGATTCGAAATTACTAGTTTTGGAACTGGTTATGGAAAACCTAATGTTGATCTATGTGGTTTTGTTAGCATTTTGGTTAGTCTATTACACTATGGAGAGTATTATATTCGAAATTACTAGTTTGGAACTAGTCATGGAAAACTTGCAGTTGATCTATGTGGTTTTCTTTACATTTTGGTTAGTCGATTATACTACGGAGAGTGCTGTTGGTTGCAAAATCATTTAATATGATATGATATTATGGCCATGTTTGGATAAACAACTTAATTAAGCACTTAAAGCATAAATTCTTAGCATATAAGTGTTTATGTATAAGCTATTTTCTGAAACAAGATGTTTGCATATAAACTTTAAGTTGTTTTGATGGGCTATTCTGGAGAGCTTATGGAAATAAGCTGAAAATAGTTTTGGACATTTTCATAAGATTTTTCTATAAGCTCTCAAAGCACCCATGAGGATTTATGTTAGTCAATACGTTCAAATAAGCTAATCCAAACATGTTCATAAGCTTGGTGGTTGTTGTAGCACTTGCCATTGGATACGCCGTAATTCACGCGAAATGCATAGAATTACAGTTTTACTTGCATGCGGCTCATATGCTACTCTGCTTGATCAAAAGCGAAGAAGTATGATATGCAATTAAAACATGAAAGAATTTAATGTTGATTTACTGGGATATGCCATTCTTCTAGCTTCAGCTTGTTGTTTATTTATTTGTTTATTTTTGGGTCTGTTGTGCCATCATTCTGTGGAGTTGAAGCGGTGAAGTTATCATTATTTCGCTGTAAAACTTATTGCTCTAAATTCATGGCTAATTTTTTATTGCAGGCTAGTGTCGGACCTTGTAACATCCCAGAACCCAGTTCATGGAAAATTGTGGAACACAGCAAATGGGCCAGGTTTGTCTCCTTTAAACATTCATGCTTTGTCTGTTTTTTCTGCTATTACTTACTATACCTCTCTATTCTATATGTCTGCATTGATATGGAATTCTGGTTTTGCTATGCCTGTCTATGCATTTATGTTATATAACTATTTTCTCATGAATACTGCACTGTTGTTTGTTTATGTTTATTGATGTTATATTTTAAATTATACTTGCAATACACACTAGTCCATTTTTTCTCCCATTTTGCTTCAGAATATTGTTTTAAGTAGTAAATTTTTATGCAGTTGGAACCAGCTTGGAAACATGTCTTCCACAGAAGCCATGCGACTTTTTGTAAAAATATTGGAGGTCATACAAATAATTTTTGTTGACATTTTCTCCTTCGTAAAATGCAATATATTCTTTGATTACTTTTGTTTTTATTTTCTTTTGATGTGTAGGAAGAAGATCCTGGGTGGTATTCAAGAGCATCTAACTCTGTTGCAGAGCCTGTAATAGACGTTCAAATGAATGTGAGTATTCTTAGGGCTATATAATATAACAATATTGAGTCTTGTTCTTGCTCATATGCACTTATGCTTTGGGCCTGGATTGAGCTTTACACGTTATACACACATATTATATCAAACTCACAATAGAGTAAGTACTGAGTGAGCACAATATGGTCTAATTCACGGTCAACTAAGTAGGAAGCTGGCTTTTTGGCTAAGAAAATTTAGGGTATTGTATAATTGCTTGTAACGCTACACATGCATGCAATTCCTATGCAATTAAGATAGTTGGATGGTTTTGGTGTAACATCAATTACAGATTTCATGATATGGCCTAAGGGTTTGATCTTTAGAATTAGATTCATTTCAAAGGCATGCCGACATGAATACTTATCAAGAGAATCTCAATAAGAACAGTTTCATCTGCATTCTCCACTTTTGTTTTTACTTGTTACCATCAACATTGCAATTTTTCCTGTATCTGTTTTCCAATGTCGGATTCTATCTTGCTGGTTTGGCAGTATAATTCCAAAGTTGAGCCGGTCATTGAGAATGGGAATACTTATCCAGAGACAAAAACTATTTCCTCTGAAAATGGAAGTCAAGTTGGAACACAAGATAAAGATGTTGTTGTGGAAGGCTTTGCTTCAGTTGGAGTTTATGATCAATGGATTGCACCTCCAGTATCTGGTCAACGACCAAAAGCCCGATATGAGGTTTTGGCTCTTGCATTATATAATAACTATAAAATTAATTCCGTAACATTGTATATTTATACTTTTAGCCCCCCCCTAAGCCAAGTGTGTTTATATGTTCAGCATGGAGCTGCAGCCGTGCAAGATAAATTGTACATATACGGTGGAAATCACAATGGCCGTTACCTCAGTGATCTTCATGTAAGCATATGTTAAATATATTTGTTACATGAAGGTATAGATTTGGGCTGAAGTAACTTTTTTATCTTGTGGGGCTTAATTGACACCACAACTTCTGGAAATCATTGTATAACTATATCTTGTATTACAGATAATCTTTTTGTGATCTCCCTTTTATATTGAATAAATTATGTGTTGATTTTTTTCGAATTAAATGGAAACAAATACAGGTTTTGGATTTGAGAAGATGGACTTGGTCAAAGCTCGAGGCTAAAACTGGAGACGGACCCTCTACAACTTTGGACCCTTGTGCTGGCCATTCTTTGGTTTGTATTGAACATAAAACTATGCATAACTGCTGTGTTGAATTTGTTTTTTGTTGACAGTCTTATACTAATTCTGTAATATTATCGATGAAAAATCACGTCACTATAGATTGCATGGGGAAATAAGCTCTTGTCAATTGCTGGCCATACAAAAGATCCCTCCGAAAATATCCAAGGTATAATATATTAGTGTTGTAATAATGTGTTTTCATTCTTTTAGGGATTTGCATCATATCTGTGCATAATAACTTAAAATGTGAAGAAGTGAATATAAGGCTGGCTTGGTGGCTGGGGGAGTTAAGAAGCGGAGTGATAAGGAGGTCGAGAGCCCAATCTCCACTCCCAGCATAGTGCTGACAATACTAATGTTGGCTGTTTAAAAAAAACTTAAAGTGTGAAAGTTTTGGAAATGATTTATTCAACATTGTATCATTAGAAGAGTGTCTTTTTGGAGTCATAGTTGTAAGCATTCTCACCTCTCCGGCTCCGCACTTTGGGTTTTCCTAGTCCAGTGTCAAAGAAGTTTGTTCAATAAGATTTTCTTCTGTGAATTTCAATTCTCAGAACCCATGTATAAAACACACAAAGCTAATAACATTTTCCTCAGTTCATTGGTTTGATCTATGTTCATTAATTACAGTGCATTTCTCCATTTTTCTATAACTCTTTTTCTACTCCTGTTTTTGTTGTTATCTTTTCTATTGTGATTGCAACTAAGTATGGGCACTACTGTTAAATATTATGACAGTGAAAGAGTTTGATCTGCAAACAGCAACATGGTCAAGTCTAAAGACCTATGGGAAAGCTCCGGTATGTGTCTGTTACTTTTATTGATCCTAAAGTCTTAAAATTTCTAATTATCATTTTAGGCCTATCTGACATGTCATATTTGCATTTCTCTAACAAGAGACGCATGTATACCTTGGCTTGTAAGCATACAACAGTGATGTCCCCTCTCTTCTCCTTTCATTCATTCTTTCTTTCTTTTTTGTTTTTAAAATTTAAGTATTATTCTTTAGTTCCCTCTTCTATCATGTTTGCTTTCTAGATATCATGTCGAGGCTAACCTGTGACCCTTGTTTTCGTCCATTCTTTTAGTTTTAATTAAAATACAGTAATAGTCTGTTTAGTTCCCTCTTCTATCATGTATGCTTTTTAGATATCACGCGGAGGCCAATCAGTGTCCCTTGTTGGGAATACTTTAGTAATTTTTGGCGGGCAAGATGCAAAAAGGGCTCTCTTGAATGACCTGCATATTCTGGACTTGGAAACCATGACATGGGACGAAATTGATGCCGTGTAAGAAATTTTCTAAAAAAACCCTTTCTATCTTCATGGTTTCTATTTTAACTTATCAGGGCTTTGTGGGAGGGGTTGATTTATTTTCTTTAATACCTCAGGGTGGACTTTAATGGTTTTGGGTTGTATGAAGAGTAAACTTCATATGACTGTTTGATGATAATCTCTGTTTATGCAATATTTGGTTTTGTCTTACCATTCTGAAGAGAGAGAAAATATGAAAAGGTAACATGATAAGGTTTTGTTCTAACTATGTCATAACTGGCAGTGGAGTGCCTCCTTCCCCAAGGTCTGATCATGCTGCTGCTGTACATGTGGAGCGATACTTGCTTATCTTCGGAGGGGGTTCACATGCAACTTGCTACAATGATTTACATGTTCTTGATTTGCAAACTGTAAGGCCCTTGCCTCATCTGTTAGGAAATGGACCGGAAAGTCATCTCCATCTAATTGTTTGCATGAATTCCACAGATGGAATGGTCTCGCCCCACACAACAAGGTGAGATACCAACTCCACGTGCAGGACATGCTGGTGTGACGGTAGGAGAGAACTGGTTCATTGTTGGTGGTGGTGACAACAAGAGCGGTATGCTTTTTTGCTGCTCTGTCATTAAGATTTAAACTTTCTGCATTGAGAAATTAACTGCCACACTGTACAAAATATTCCTTGATACCTTGGACAAATATTTTCTAAACTATTTGATGTACATGTAGCATGCCTGTGATGTGGGTCAAACTAAACCATTAAGTCTGTATTTGGATAGGTGTTTGCGAAACATGATTTTCAGTAAATTGGATTTTGTAAAATTGATTTGGTTTAAATTAATTTAGAAAGAAGTGATTGTTGTTCAGAACTTTTCACACTAAAAGCAAGAGATAAAACTTGGTGCAAGTATTCTAACCTAATGCAAAAGCTATTTCTTATTACTTCGAGCCAAACCGAGATTTGTAGGCAAAGGAATTTTTGCTCGAGAATATCCAAACATGTAAAAAATGATCAAAATCAAGTTTATGATATTAAGTCTGTGCTAAACATGGATCCGAACATGCATTAAATCATATTTCAACTCTCCTGTAGAGTTAAAGAGTGCATTCTACCTTCAAATAAATATATAAATCATACCAGTTTGTTATTTTTTTAGTTATATGCATGTGTCTAAGCATAGGATTGTTCTATGCATGTATCTAGAAGATCCTTGGTGCTAACAATGATATGCACTAAACAAGTTCATGTTTTGTTTATGGATGGAGAACTACTTTTATGATTAAGTTATTATGTTTGGTTAAACATGTAAAATTACTTTTTCGTATTAAGTTTCTAAAATGATATGCACTACTGTTGAGACTCACACTAGATGTGATATGGCTTAAAAATGTTTTTAAGTGGTGGTCTTCTTTCACCTTATAAGTCGGTTTTGTAGGGTTGAGTTAGACTCAATACAAATATTAAAATGGTATCAAATCCTTTCCAACATCCGGTGGACCACTCGTTATCTTTCCATTCGGATCACGCACTAGATGTCCACCCTTGAGCTTGAGAGGGGTATATTGAGAGTCTCACATTGGGTGTGATATGACTTGAAAATGTGCTTATAAATAGTGGACATCATTTACCGTACAAGTCGGTTTTGTAGGATTGAGTTTGACCCAACACAAACTTTAAGATGGTATCAGACCCTTTCCAAGATCCGGTGGACCACCCGTTTGCTTTCCACTTGGATCACACTCCAGATGTCCACCCTTGAGCTCAAGGGGGTATTTTGAGAGCCTCACATTGGATGTGATATGACTTGAAAATGTGCATATAAGTAGTGGTGGACTTCATTTAACTTACAAGTCGGTTTTGTAGAGTTGAGTTTCTCACAACACAAATTTATATAAATATATTTTAGCAAGGACAAAATGTCAATTACACCCAAAATAAGTAGTGGTATACAAAAAAACTACTGCATTATATCATTTTGTACTGCAACCTCATTCAAATGCCACTGCAAATTCCTCCAAATGCTTTTTGGAGTCCGGGAGTCTCTTCCAAAATGCAGTATAGAGAATATATAGATGAGTAGAGTAAATAAATCAGACAAAACCTGTTGTATGGGATATTTGCTAATGATTGCCTCTCTTTAATTCTCTTGTTTATCTCAGATTTTAGTTATTTCTTGCAAAATTGGCGATTAATTGTTTGTTGCCTTGATCTATCATACTAAATTGATACAATTGTTGTAGGGCATATTTAAGTGGTTTATTTATGCCTACTGTTTCATTGTGAAAGAAAGTAATCTGGAAAAAGCATTACTGTTTTAATGGAGTCACGGAAAGGTTACTTTTTTCTGGTGTAGTTAGTAGTTAATTACTTGCACCATATATCTACAAATATATCAATAAAAAGGCGTGGTTACCTAGGTTGTGAATATACTTAATGTTTTGGATTTTATGAGATTTCTGGTGCTGTCATTTAAGTTAATATATATGCCTTTTTATAAGTTATACTCCATGTTATTCTGCAGGGGCTTCGGAGACGGTTGTACTGAACATGTCTACACTGGCTTGGTCAGCAGTAACATCTGTTCAAGGGCGTGTTTCTGTTGCTAGTGAGGTACTTCGTCCACTTATTTTAACACGATTAGACGTGAAATCTAACTAGAACGCCGATTCTTGCTAACTCCTTGATATCATTAGGTATCTTTCTAGTGCCCACTGATGAACATAATTAAAATGCCTCTCATTGCAGGGCTTGAGTTTGGTTGTAAGCTCGAATGATGGCGAAGATGTACTTGTATCTTTTGGAGGATACAATGGACGTTACAACAATGAAGTAAAGATTATTTCAACATTTTCCCCATTCTGCTCTGTTATTTCCTTTGCTTTATCATTCTCACTGGTCAGATTTAATTTCTGCTTTCAGGTATATGTTCTTAAACCAAGCCACAAATCCACCTTGCAATCCAAAATAAATGAAAATTCCATACCAGACAGTGTTTCTGCTGTACCAAATGCTACAAATGCTACTCGAGATTCGGAGCCTGAACTTGGAGCAGGACAAGAAGGGAAAATTTGGGAAATTGCTGTGGACAACGCTTATCCAACAGTATGTATTACTGTAAAGCATATACATTTTTTTATATCTGGTTTTATGAAGCCGTTTTGTTCCAGCATTTGGTTGTGTTAGGAATAATTTTTATGGGGTGCTTTATTTTAGAAAACTATTATCTGTTCATGGAACTGATTTACCGAATTTTATTTTCTTGGTTGCATGCCTTTGGCTCACAAGCCTAGATCTAAAAGCTTGACATATTCTGTTTCAGTTTCTTTCCTCTTCTGCTCATTGCCTTTAAGAGAATCAAAACTATATTAAATGTTTTTTTTCTCTAAAGATCTGACTACTTTTATACTATCCAAATATGTCAAGTCATTTAATATGCCGTTCAATTTCTTTTCTAAGGCACACATAACTTCTCCAATTTGGGAAATTTATTGTTGCAAATAAGTGATTATTATTGTAAGTGCATATTATGTATATATTATTTTTTTCGGTATTAGGCCCATTAATTAGATCCGTTAGTTAGAGCTTAGTCTATATGTTCAGATTAGTGTGTAGTGTTCATAATATTTCTGTCTACACATGATAACACTGTCTCACAGTCTTGAAAGTCTTGCTTCCTCATGATACCCTGGCCGGGCTTCATTGAAGCATTTGGCACCTTCACTGTGCTTGTTTTTTGTTTGTTGACCCGAACGTATCGCACGCCCTTTTATTGTCATTGTTCACATTCTGTACAATGATACTATTCATTGGGTCCTTACAGTACCATTGCTCAGGCATATGTACCACAGTCGTACCTCATATAGTGTGCTCATTCACAAGAACAACTCAGACATTCTTATCAAAGAATTGAGCAATCCAGTTTTTGGATAAAGATACTATCCGCGCTGATAATGGAGAATATCTATTTACCAACTTCTTGTTGTTCCACTTTCATAGAGCTCTTTAAGGTTTCACTTCCCAAGCTGTTTAGATCCCATTGTATAGCAAGTAGAACAAGTTCAATGTATCTTAGGGAGTAGTGCTAGGTCAATTGTTCCCTTATAAATTGAAGTGGTCGTTTATTATCAGTGTGATTTCCATGTATGTATAACTTAAGAAAGCATACCAAGCACATTCAGAAAAACTGTCTTTCTATTCGTAAGGGACATTTATCCTACTGTCAAAGTGATAAATGTGGAAAAGTAATAATTGAAGATACATAAGAATCAGTTGTATGACAAAGATCTGTAAATAATACATGCATTTATTGATTTCTAATTTTGCACCTCAAATTTTGCATACTCTGCCTGCATCATTTAAATGACAAACATAGATCAAATTATGCATTTGTGCCCTATCATTTTCTTTCCTGCCAGTCACTGCTTTCATATGTTGGGTATCATACAGAAATCCAAAGGTGATCTCCTATCAGTACTAAAGGCTGAGAGAGATGAATTAGAATCATCACTTGGTAAGGAGAGGCTGCATACTCTTCGACTAAAGCAAGAGCTGGCTGAAGCCGAGGCTAGTAACTCTGACCTTTACAAGGTAACTACTTTTACAATTGAAATTCTTTTTTTTTTAAATTTTTTTTTATTTTGGGTTTATTCTGGAATGGATCCAAGAATCGTACAGTAGGCAAAATAATACTTTTTAAAAATAATTAATGACAATAAATAATTAAAACCCGAGGGAATATAGCTATTGCATTCAATGAACTCAAATTCAATATCCTACCTAGGATCGGGAGGGGGTGAAAGATCAATACACAACTCGGAAGATCCTACTGAAGGACAGGGATAAAACTATCATACATGATAAATAAAATAACCTCTAAATCACAACATTAGACTAAGTTAATTAAAAATTAATAACCATCAATCCATAAGTTCATAAGTTCACCACACAGTTCAGATCGGGGAAGGCAGAAACAAAACAAAAACAGAGTCTGCCAAAAAATCAGAAACAGAGAAAGGCCACGCAAAAGAAAACAGGGCAAGGGGAAGAATGTATCTGGGTGGGGGGGTGGTGTTGACGAGAACCAAGTTGCAGGTTGTAGAGGAAGGAGGAGGAACGACGCCGCAGGGAGGAGATGGACCGTGGGCGAGGGAGTCAAATTTCTCTCTTTTAGAGCCGTGTGGTGGAGACGGGATCTTGAGCGAGTCAGCCAAACTTTTCACCATAGCCGACCCGTTTCAGCCAAGCTCGTTGCGAAATGGTTAGCCCAAACGTGTTATCCTACGATCCCACTTCATAATCGCAGGTTTGACCATGCCGCACGCCTCCACTGACCCTGGCCGTATAACAGCATGGAATCATGGCTGTGGTGGATCTTGAGCGAGTCAAAATTTTCACAATAGCCAACCCATTTCATCAAAGCTCTTTGTGAAATGGTTAGCCCAAACATGTGATCCTACAACCCCACTTCATAATTGCGGGTTTGACCACGCCGTGCACTTCCACTGACCCTGGCCATATTGCTGCACAGGATCATAGCTGCAGATCTTGAGCGAATGATCAAACTTTTCACAACAGCCGACCCGTTTCATCAAAGCTCGTTGCGAAATGGTTAGCCCAAACATGCGATAATACGATCCCACTTCATAATTGCGGTTTTGACCGTGCCGCGCACCTCCAGTGATCCTGGCCATATTACAGCACGGGATCATGGCCGTGGATTGTAGAATCGTACAATCCTACCTGGAAGCTCAGAATCTTGTCCATATTGATTGCATTGCTTTATTTCGTTCTACTTCTAGAGATTTGGGTTCCAGGGAAGCCCCGTGTCTTTCTATCTAGTAGACCGCTTTCTTTTGTATTATTTGGGCCAGACTTAAGCAGATTAAGGTATATAATGAAATTTGAATATTCTAATGTTACTTACCAAAAAGATTGAACTACATCATCGCTCTTATTGCTATCAAAGGTCCTTACATTTTGTGCTCTGGCAATGTAGGAGCTCCAATCAGTACGTGGTCAGCTTGCGGCTGAACAGTCAAGGTGTTTCAAACTTGAGGTATGCATTAAAAATGTTCTGAAAATCTCCCGTCTTTATCTTTATGACTTGTGAGTGTGTTTTTGAATAGAATCCTGTGTTAGGTAAATGGTTTAAGAAAACTTATTTGGTAAATGTGATGTGCCACGCATCTGATCACCAAACTATTCATGAGCAACAGCTAACAATTAAATGAATTAATCCACATGATGATTTTGCTTTCAAATAATTCTTTGCAAAACTGGGTGTTGGTATCAAATGCTTTGAAATTGTTATGTCTAATCTGATTTATTATTATTTAACTTTAAAATATATATTTGAGAGCGCAGGTGGAGGTTGCTGAATTAGGTCAGAAGCTCCAAAATTTTGGGACATTACAAAAGGAGCTTGAACTCCTCCAGAGACAAAAGGCTGCATCAGAGCAAGCTGCTTTAAATGCAAGACAGAGGCAGGGTTCAGGTGGCGTGTGGGGTTGGCTTGCCGGTTCTCCCCCTGATCCAAATGCAGATGATGAATGAACCTTGCCTTAAGCTAAACAGCAACGCTTCATTTGGTTTCATTTTGCCAATTTTATTCTCAATACTTGTTGTGTATTAATTAATTAATTCGGTTCTTTTAGTGATGTGAATAAGATTTAGCTTCTATTTGAGCGGAGGAAGATTTTCTACACATGAGGATATGATAGTATGATATATAGTGAAGGTTATTTTTTCACCATTTTTGCTGATGACTGTATTCAAAGTGGATAATATACACTTACATGAAAATATAGAAATTCAATTTTGTGAGTCACTTATAATCATGTCAGAATTTTATTCAGGGAACCATCAATCGTAACAGAATGTCATTTGTCCCTCCAACCATTCCATTAGGTGTGTACGTGACACTCTAGGTGGGTGCCACGTCAATTCCACACAATATGGACCATTTTGTTCGAAATAATTTGTGAGTTAAGTGGCTACTTTCATGGGTTGTTTTGAAAAAGACTTTTTTTTTTATATACATTTGTTTTGAAATTTCAGTTTTTCTCCTCTCTTCCATTTATTCTTTCTCGATTTTTGTGCAAATTGATCAGAGCTATAATTAGGAAGATCTCACATCTTTAATTGGTTGAAATATATTTTTCATCTTATAAATGATTTTTAAAGATGAGTTAGGTCAAATTCTTAAATAATATTAGAGTCTATTGATTGAATTATGTGTTGTCTATTGTTTATATTCATGTATCAAATTTAAAAGAGTGTTAAGTGTAGGGGTGTATTAAAAAGATGCAAAGTTTCATATATCGATTGAATTATGTGTTGTCGTTGTTTATATATTCATGTATCAAATCTAAAACAGTTTTGAGTGTAAATAGGTGTATTGGAAAGATGCATAGTTTCATAGGCTAGGCTATTTCTCTTTTATTTATGATTTAACACACTTTCTCTTAGATTCTTCTCTTTTACTTATGATCTCACACACTGTCTCTTAGATTCTTCAGCTCCTCTTTTACTTATGATTTTACACAATTTCTCTTAAATTCTTCAGCTCCTTTAAGTCACTTATTAGAGAGTGTTTGAATTTTGTCAAGAAATTTTGTCTTCTTGCCTTTCTTTCTTGTACACTTCAAAATAGGAATTACAAATTTGCAAGTTGAAGCTGTGAGCGAACATGAGATATAACATGATCACTGAGAGCCTTACGAATAAAGTGACAGTTTACCTTAATATGCTTACTGGGCTCATGAAAAACTAGATTAACACTAAGTTGAATGACAATAATGTTGTTAGCATAGAGAGGAGTCGTAGTACCCGAAAGAATGCCAAGTTTAGCCAAGAAACTACAAAGCTAGATAATCTCATAGCAAGTTGTAAATATGACTCTATATTTCGACTCAGTGGATGACTTGGAGATTCGAGTTTGCTATCAAAAGTAGAACCAAGAAACAAGCACCAATCAGAAACATACCTCCTAGTGTCTAGACAACTCGTTTAATCTAATAGCCAACAATACAGTAAGACATGAATTGGAAGGAAAAAGTAAGCCTCTATTAGAGGTACCTTTCAAGTAAGATGTGATACAAAGAACAGTAGTTAAGTGAATATGATGAGGAGTGTGCATGAATTGACTAACTTGTTGTACCACAAAAGAAATATCGAGATGTGTAATAATCAAATAGTTAAGATTATTCACTAATTAGTGACAATTCAAAGGATTTGAGAAGATATCACTATGCCACAACGCTATTTAACATTAACTTCAAGAGGAGTATCCACTGGGACAACACACTAAAAGCTAGCCATAGAAATTAAGTCTTCAGTTGATTGACAAAGACCCCTTGGAGTTTAAGTGAGCCTACAAGCCCAAGAAGTAATGAAGACAACCTAGACCTTTCATATAAAAGGCATTCTGGAGTTGTTGTTTAAGTGTATGAATAAATGGTTGATTAGATCTTGTAATTACGATGTAGTAAACACAAATAAGAAGAAGGAGAACAATGCCAACATTAGTGTTATGAATAAATAAAGAAGTACCGTAATGACTATAGGTAAAAGAGAATCTAAGAAGAGTTAGTCAAAATATCTTAAACCATGTCTGAAGAGCTTGTTGCAAACCATATTAGAAACAATTTAGTTTGTGCACAACAATAGAAGAGGAGAAAAATTCTGGAGGAGTTATATATATATATATATATATATATATATATATATATATATATATATATATATATATATATATATATATATATATATATATATATATATATATATATATATATTATATATATATATATATATATATATATATATATATATATATATATATATATTATATATATATATATATATATAATATATATATATATATATATATATATATATATATATATATATATATAATATATATATATATATATATATATATATAATATATATATATATATATATATATATATATATATAATATATATATATATATATATATATATATATATATATATATATAATATATATATATATATATATATATATATATATATATATATATATATATATATATATATATATATATATATAATATGATCTTACCAAATGATCAGAACCTGAGATAGGCCAAAGACAAGCGTCTGTGATGCTGAGTGCGACAGAGGAGGAGGGGGTGTACCTGCGAGGCACTCCGATGCTAAAGTAAGAAAACGAGCAAGAGAGCGAGCAAGTACACAATATGTGTGTTTCAAGGTGAGAAATTGAATACCTGGCCTCTCAAATGAAAGGGTTTTTATAATGCCCCTAGCGCTTGGCCATTGGTCTCTATTTTTGGGTCGTGATAACCGTTTCCCGAAGAATAAGTAACTATCAGAAATATCGTTGGGACGGGTAGACGTGCCCATAACTAGCCGTTGACGCGAGTAGAGGCGTAGTTACGAGCATAAGCGTCTTGCCTGTTTCTGGATGGTGGAGCCGTGCGTGACGGGCAGAGACTAACGGGGAGAAGTGTTGTGACCAAGGGTAAATGGGTCAGCCTCCTCTATTGGAGGGGCAGAAAGTTAAACTTTCCACCAAAGAGGTTGGACTTGGGCAATTGGTCTGTTCTAGAAGCAAAAGTGGATTGGGCCATGTTCAGTCATTGTGTCAGTCTAAAACTATATATATATATATATATATATATATATATATATATATATATATATATATATATATATATATATATATATATATATATATATATATATATATATATATATATATATATATATATATATATATATATATATATATATATATATATATATATATATATATATATATATATATACTGCCAAGTCACCATGAAGGAAGGTATTCTTCACATTCATTTGATGAAAAGGCTATCCTTTATAAGTTGCAATAGAAAAAATAGTTTTAACTGTAGTCATTTTATCTATAGAGGCGAAGGTCTAATCATAATCCACTCCACATTCTTGTTTGTTGCCTAAGGAAAAAAGTTGAGCTTTGAAACAATCAAATGAGTCATTTGAATTGAGTGTCACATAATATTCCCATTTACAACCAATTGGTTTAGCTGTAGTTGGACAGAAAACGATATTGCAAGTATAATTCTCTTGAAGTGTTTGCAACTCTTCTTGTATTGCCTTTACCCACAGTGAGTCGTTAGTTGTCTGTGAATAACATGTAGGAACAAATATATAAGATAAAGTGGAAGTAAGAGAAGTAGATTCATCATCATACCTTTTGTGGACGAGATATATGTCTGGACCTTCATGGTTCCATTGGTGGAGGATCAATCAACGGTTCAATATCAAGAGGATCCAGAAGAAGCTTTTGCCTGACAAAGACATGACACGTCTTAAAACGTTCTAGAGGGTGAGTGACCTCCAAAAAATTAGTAAGTGAAGCAAAACCAGAAGAGTCAAAAGAAATAGGAGAAAAAATATTGATATTTAAAGAAAGCCACATTCATATAGATCCAGCAACAATAGGAAGTTGTATCATAACAAAGGAAACCTTTATGAGTAGGAGCATAATACATAAAGGCACACCTTATAGATTGGACACTCAATTTGTGATGTTCTGAAAATGGTAATTGAACAAAACACACACAACATAAGTGTGAAGATCATGATAATTAACTTTTACGAAAGAAAGGAGAATAAAGGTCGAGAACATGAGAAGGAATGCGGTTGATCAAGTATACCACCATGGACAAGGCTTCAACTCAAAACTCAAATGGGGCAGAAGCTTAAGGCATATAAGAACATGAACACTAAAAAGTAATACTTTTTGTTTGCAAGAACTCTTGGAGTTCACGAGAAACATATTCACCACCAGAATTTCTAAGTAAAAATTTGATGTAAGCGTGAAATTGATTCTCAATATATGCAAAAAAAAATTCTTAAACACGCTAAAAACCTCAGATTTAGAGTGAAAAAAAATATATCCATGTAAATTTAATATAGTCATTAATAAATCTTGATATTTGTCCCGCATATGATGTTTAACTCAACCAATACAGTACAATGATCTAATAATTTTGAATTATAAACATTTTAATGTTTATATATGAACTAGTGGAAGTGGGATATGATAGGCCTAAAGTGTGGAGTTTTGTAGAGAAAGAAAAAAATAATGAAGAGAAATAACTTATAGAAAGAAGTTGTTTTAGGCCGTTATGTTTTTATTTTAAAGACGTAGTTATATTAAGGTAGTTATGCATTATACTTTTATTTTAAATATGCAGTTTGTGTATGAGAGTTATATCATATGTTATATTTTAAAAATAAGCACTTGATTGACAAAGGAGCAGGGAAATGTCATGACCTATTTGAAAAACATATGATTTGGATTGTTATTGTCTTTATCTTATAATATATAAATGGTGCACTAGTAAATTAGAATTTGTCTTTGTTTCCATTCTCTGTTTTATCAATTTTCCTCTTCGTTAGTCTTTTGTAATTTTGTAATTTCAAGGTGTGATTTTTTATTTCAATGCAACCTTTAACTTAGTAAATTCTAAATATTGACTTATCCTAAAGTCT